CGCTGACGCCTGCCCCTCCTTGCCTCGCCCCCCGTGGAGCCCGGCTTTACTTTACTGGGGTCTTGCCCTCTCTCTACTTTGCCTGCATTCTCTTCCTTCCCTATCGCCTTACCGTCTGTCCTGCTCCTGCCCTGAATTACTGTTTGCCCCCTGCGTGGCCATCTCCGGCTTTCGGTTCCCGCACCCCGGTGTTGGAAAATGGAACCCTTTATGTTTGAAATTAAAAAGATGAAAATTTCGGTATAAAAAGTCGTAATTTGAAACTGAAAATAGGTGCAGAGAGTCAGAATTCTGCTAAAAAATCACGCTCAGGAGTCAAATTTCCGACATTTCAGACATTTCGAAAACTGCAGGGGGGTTTGGGCAAAATATGACCCATCGCCATTTACAGTAATTGGCATATTTTCGGTATGAAACGTCGTAATTTGAAACTGAAAATAGGTGCAGAGAGTCAGAATTCTGCTAAAAAATCACGCTCAGGAGTCAAATTTCCGACATTTCAGACATTTTAAAAACTGCAGGGGGGTTTGGGCAAAATATGACCCATCGCCGTTTTCAGTAATTGGCATATTTTCGGTATGAAACGTCGTAATTTGAAACTGAAAATAAATGCAGAGAGTCAGAATTCGGATAAAAAATCACGCTCAGGAGTCAAATTTCCGACATTTCAGACATTTTGAAAACTGCAGGGGGGGTTTGGGCAAAATATGACCCTTCGCCGTTTTCAGTAATTGGCATATTTTCGGTATAAAAAGTCGTAATTTGAAACTGAAAATAGGTGCAGAGAGTCAGAATTCGGCTTAAAAATCACGCTCAGGATTCAAATTTCCGACATTTCAGACATTTTAAAAACTGCAGGGGGGTTTGGGCAAAATATGACATGACACATCGCCGTTTTCAGTAATTTGCATATTTTCGGTATGAAAAGTCGTAATTTGAAACTGAAAATAGGTGCAGAGAGTCAGAATTCGGCTCAAAAATCACGCTGAGGAGTCAAATTTCCGACATTTCGGACATGGGAAAACCCATGTTGGGGGGATGCTCCGCAGCCCCCCCAACACCCAGCACAGCCGGAACACCTGGCGAGGGTGCAGGACCAGGCGCAGCAGCAGGAGTCGAGGAAGACGCAGACGTACTCGGCTGAGGGACAACAAGCACCGGGGGCATGTCGGGTGACGCAGGAGGGGCCGCATCAGCAGCGACTGGGACCTGCTCCACTTCATCTCCGGATTCCACGCCCTGAGGGAGCGGCGGGAAATCCTCCTCCCGGAATAAGTTAACGGGTGCAGCAGGTGTCTCAGAGCACCCGGCAGCCTGATGCCCCAACTGGCCACACCGGAAACAAGTACGGGGCTGCCGGGCATAGTACACCCGAACGAAGTAGCCCAGCAGCCGGACAGAAGATGGGATATCCGACCGCAGGCGCATACCTAATGTACGGACGTTCGATCGTCTGCTTCCCAGCATACTTCCCCGAGGACAGCTTGTTCACCCGCACACTGATGACTACACCATACCTCCCGAAGAAGCGCAGGAGAAGGTCTTCAGGGAACTCCAGGGGCGCACCGTGCACACTGACATATGTCAGGGCACCACTTCGGTCCGAGATCGTAACGGAGCCGGCGCCATCCAGCAACTGCAATGAACGCCCCTCGTTCCGCCGGAGGAAGTCCCGATACTCCTCCTCCCCCACGAACTTGACAATCACCCGGTGGGCCGTAACAAGCTCAACGCCATACACAGCTTCCACCGGGACACGAAGCATGTCGCACATAACTAACTCAATGGAGGGTTAACCAGCCTTACACGTGAATTCCAGGCCCACGGAATTTACTCGCAACACAGGAGGAATGGCCAGGCCCCCCATGTCAAACGGCCACGTCAGCACGCAGCCAGGCAGGCAACAACACTGGACAGGGAGGGTAAGAGACCCCCACACCCCCTGCCGGCGAAAACTGCAACCTCCCCAAACTGCCGGAGTGTTCAGACGACACGTCTTCACACTACGGCTGCTCAGGTGGAACTCCTCGGGGATCCCAGATGGTACAAATATGGTTGGGCGATTTTTTCCACCTTGTGTGTTTTGTTTACATAGTTGTGTGTGTGTGTCGTTTACATAGGGTGTGTGTTTACATAGCAACCAGTTGAATAGACCAGTAGAATATTACATCTTCAACTGTTGTGGAGTTACATCGTGGGGAGAGCCAGTAGTTTGGCCTGGGGGGAGGGGGGGGGGGGAGATACAAGCCAAAAGTATATACTGTATTACACACCCACACACACACCACACTCTCCCGAGACCTGGAACTTCAAGAACAAGAGGTCATAGATTTAAACCAACTAAACAATGCTGAAGAAATAAGAAAATTCACTTTCGCAAATAGAGTGGTAGACAGTTTGAACAAGTTAGGCGAGAAGGTGGTGGAGGCAAAAACCGTCAGACGTTTCAAAGCGTTATAAAGTTTATGGTAAATTCCTTTTTGTCCTCATCGATAACAAGCTGAATTTCCGGGGACATTCTAAATATATATATATATATATATATATAAAATCTAAAATTGTTGGCATTCTTTCTAAGATCAGATTATGTACCTCGCCCTACCCTGGTGACGCTCTATTACTCTCATCTATCCATATATCAGCTATGATATTTGTGCTTGGGGTTCTACTACCCAAAATCATTTACGTCCTCTAATTACCCAACACAAAGCTGCTATTAGGACAATATCTAACTATGGCCCCAGACACCACTCGGTATCCTTACTCAAATCTCTGAATGTTAGATATTAAGTCACTGCACATCCTCTCATGTGTACTCTATATATTTAAAACTGAATTGTAATGTCAATTCTGACCTTAAAAGCTTCTTAGAAGGTTGTAACAGAACCCATGGGCACCACCAAAAACAAATACCTATTTGATATTCTAAGACTACGACTTAAACTAGAAATGCTCTACAAATCAAGGGATCCAGAATGTGGAATGACCTTCCCAATCATGTCAAAGGCTGTACCTCTTTCAACCAATTTAAGATGAAAACCAAGTACTACCTGAACAAATCCACAAGGGCCGTGACGAGGATCCTTGTGGACTTGTTCATTTGATGAATCACGTTAGTGTGATCTCTGTGTGTAATGATGTAAGGGCGAAGAGGGAGAACGGCCTATTGACATAGCTCGGGTGCAGTGGGGGGGGGGGGTTGTGTAAAAGCCTGGTTTGTGCCTCGGAGAGGCTGCAGGATCCAGTAAGTTCAGTAGAACTTCGGTTTCAACCCTTTCGTAGCTCAGTCGATTAAGGCAGTGTCTGGGATGCTCCCGGACACAGGTTCGAATACTCGTCACTGCCCTTGTGGATTTGTTCATTTGATGCAACACGTTAGTGTGATCTCTGTGTGTGTAAGTACTACCTAATTAACTCCCTGTAACCTACCTTACCCCTAAATGTCAACCCATGTCTTACTATTTTTAAACAATGCTGTTTGTTGATCAACTTTTATATTGGCTATTTTCTACCATGTTCACCCCCCCTTTTTTATCTTATTTGTTTTCTTTCAACGCAATTTATACTTTAAGCTCAATTACTATTAAGTTTTAGTCTAAGTTTTTTTCCCCCACCTCACCTTGCCCAAAACGCTATTTGTACAAGTGACTTTAGGCATTGTATGTACTACCTCCATCTATAAATCCAACATTATGTTTGTAACTAATCCTCTATGTATGTACTTTTACCGGAATAAACATTTGATTTGATTTGTTATACGACAGTGCTGGGTAGACGGAACACCACGAGTGTAGCTCTCATCCTGTAACTACTATAATAAGGAGCAGGGCGGCGCTCCATTAAGTGCCCGAGAGTTAAACGGGTATGGCCAATACGTAACCTCACCAGAGCCGTTTCCCACCGCCAGTTATGATGGAACTGACTCGGAGCCTTCAATGGTCGTCTTTCTTTCCTTCCCTCCCTCCAGAATTTTCTCAGCTCTCTATGTTGACGATCTTGCCCTCTGCTGTCAAGGTGATGACATCTTTCCTGTTGCCAGTTATGGTGGAAAGAAAAAGGCCAAGGGGACACACTATCCTTAAGAGCACACAGTCTGTTACCAGTAACAGAAGACCAACAACCCTGCCAAGAGGAACAGTGAAGAATGATGACTGGATAGAATTCTGAATAAGGAATGCCTTTGCGGGAAAGTGCGAAGACCCTCGGAGGTAAGATATATGGGGGCGACCAAGACAAACGAGTCAGATTAATCCAAAAGTCTAGCAGAATCTTTATACAAAAAGAGGGCAACCATAGAGGGACAAAGGGGGGATGAAGAATGGCCTGCTTCCAAGCAAGTCATCCCAAAAATCTTCGGTGTAGAAAACGTGAAGCCAAGATTGGTGGCCCAGAACGACAAGGCATCCATCGCAAGTTGAAGCTGTCGGAAGAAAGACGAGTCATCACCTTGACAGCAGAGGGTAAGATCGTCAACAGAGCCGAGAAAATTCCGAAGGGAAGAAAGGACGACCATTGTAGGCTCAGTAGTGTTCCAACCATTACTTAAGATTAAGAGTAGTGCTCAGAACACTACCTTGGGGTACACCTTCGTATTGCCGAAAATAGGCAGTGAGCGATATCAAACCTCACTCTAAAGGAACTACTATAGAGGAAGCTTTGTAAAAAGAAAGGGAGATTATCACAAAAGCCAAAAAAAAGCCCACTACAGTTGCTCAATTCCTGGTACCTATTTACTAATAGGTATTTAATATTTATTTTTAATAAATATTAAATACCAATATTTTTAGTATATAATAATCAGGGTTCTTTTGGTTGTGTCCCAATTGCACTGCCAACTGCACTACTGTTCCATGTAATTTAGGGCAAGTGCCTTTTTACTCAAAACAGTACTGTATACTCAGTTTTAATACAGTTTCTCAGAATTTTGTCAAAACTCATTACATAACATTGAAGAAAATATAAACCAAATGCAGAAGGGGTTTATAATGAAACAATGCAGATAATTGTTGCTTTATATATATTGCAGACTTTATTCTCTCACTCACAGGAGATCATGCATTTGATGGCTCCATCTTCACCTGTATGAAACATATCGAAGGCTTTCTGGAACTCCTCAAACTTGAATCGATGAGTTATGAGTGGCTTGACATCAATAAGTCCATTGGCAATCATATCAATAGCAATTTGGTAGCTGCCAAAAGGATACAATTAAATTGAGAAAAAAAATAGTTTAAATCTGAAAGTAATGTAATGAAATACCATACTGCCATAATGTAATGAAAGCATCATACTAGAAATAAATATCTCTGCTATTCCTAGTCAAACTAAATCTGTGCAAACACTCCATACAAATATAAGTACCGAGTCTATGGAACTCACTCTGATGAATTAAAAAATTGTCCAACCTATGCCTTATTCAAAAGTCAAAACAAAAAGAGTACATTATTTTAATTTCATCCTCATAGTTTCCTACCTTGTGCTTTAACTAAGGTTCATTTGAATCCTTTGCCTACTAGGGACCAGGAACCTAGCCTTCTCAGAGAAGTGCAGGGAGCAATGGCCTATGAACACTTTTAAATGTAAAGTGTCATAACTGCCATGGACCAGGAAAGGATACAACAATTACGAGGCGAATTACAACAGACAACTGTCTAGATCAACGTCCTAAAAGATCAAAATATCTTTCCTAGAAAGAAAGGAGTCCCCTTTGAGTTCTTTGGCTCCTTTTGACCCTGTTTGGGCCCTTGTACACTCTGGGCAGGGGTTGTTGCAGGGGAGGGGGTTTTCGTACCCTCCTCCCCTTTCTGATTTCCTATTACCGTATCCCTTGGCAGTCTTGTCTTGTGTATGAAACTGATGTTTGTGTAGTTTCTCACTTGTGTTCACAGACTGTGTTCGTTCAGCTTTTTTTTTAATATTTTCTTTTTCGTAATGCGGCTTTTGGTAATACTGTAGTGTAATTATTTTATTATTTGCATTGTTTTGTACCTAGCGATCTTGCTCTGTGTGGTCGTCCGGCTCCCTAGCCTTCTGTGCTCAGTCTCCCGTCCGTATTACGGCTGATTTAGACGTGGAACAAATTTTTATTTGAAAAAAAAAAAAAATTGAGTCTTATCAGCCGGCAATTACGATATGTAGGGTTTCCCTCCAGGTTTGTTTCCAAGTGCCCTTAGTTCCTCGGATTTGTCTTTTCGGATGCTTTCTTACCCCCTGCAGAGGTTCAGGTGATGCATACCTCCTGAGAGACCCGGTTTAACTGCCTTGGATCAGGTTTTGTTTGAGGTCTATTCCTCTAACTTGGATCTGGTGCATTCCAAGGTTCCAATGTCAGGCTGCTTCGACGACTGGTTAATGTGGGCTCCCTGCTGGTCTGCTAGCCGGGGTTCCGGTTCTTTCGCAGCTTGTCGGGTTCAGGTTCCTGGTACCTTGGCGGAAGTCCCAGTTGGTTCTGTTGCAGGTTCGGACTGGCTGGGCATTGTGCGAGGTTGTCAGACTGTCCGTTTCTCTCCCTTCTACGGCTTTGTTCCTGTTGCTGTCCCATCTTCAGCTGTTTTTATGGGGGGACCTGGGTCACTCAGCGGTTGCTCAAGCAGCTGTGTGGGAACCTGAACTTTGCTCAATTGGTTTGTTCACTGTGCAAGGTTCGACTTAAGAGCAGCCTCTTTCACTGGTCTTGTGATCGCTAGGTTTGTTCTCGAGTGTCCTTGCGTCAGTTGCTGCGTCACCGGCTCTTTTTTTTTTGGGGGGGGGGGGGATTTTGTGCCATGGCGCCTTCCTTTTCCCTCACCGTTTTCACGGACTCTTCGTCTCTTGGTTGAGGCTTTGTGCCCAGTGCTCACCAGTCCGGCCATGGGTATTGGGGTGGTCCTTGCATCAAGCTCACAGTACGGGGCGGGAGTTTGCGGCGGATTCGGCTCTCTCGGGGCTCGATGATCTGGCGCCATTCGGACTGCGACCCCCGTGGTTCATTGTCTCAACCGTGGGGGTTCTCTTTGGTTCCTGGGTCTTTGGGACTGGTTGTTTCAAGTAGCTCTTCTGCAGAGTTCTCGGGGTTTAACTCTTCGCGCTGTTCAAGTTCGGGACGTGTCCAACGTCCTGGTAGACGGCCTGTCTCTCTTCATTCCTCTTTCCGTGGAGAGATGATTGATGCTGCATCTTTCCTTTGCCGGACGTATGGGCCCCCGGTCATGGATCTCTTTACGTCGGCGTGGTCTCAGCATCTCCCATTGTACGTGGTGTTATTCCCCGATTGGGAGGCAGTCGCCGTAGATGCTTTTCGGAAGGACTGGTCTTCCCCCCGGTCCAGCTGTTGCTCCAGGTTCTGACTTGGCTGGAATCCTATCGGGGAAGAGTGATTTGTCTGTCTCCATGGTGGCCAGCCCAGCATTGGTATCAGGCGCTGCTTGCTCGGTGTCCAAACCCGGGAGTTTCCACGGCTCTTTCAGGAGGTCGGGCCAGTGCTGGTTAGCCTTACTGCTCCACAATACGTGTCTGGCATTTCTGGTGTGCGTGTGTGTGTTTATCACCATTTGTAAGGTGATTGTATGGTGCTTTTGTTGGTGTCCCACCTGCGGTCTTCTTAGCGGGTTTTCCTCCCTTTCCTTTATCTTCGTCGGTTTTCATTGATTTTTGAACGGGTTGTTTTGTCCTTTCTTTGCTTTTTCTGGATCAGCATTTCATGCCTCATACTGACGCTTATCATGTGGCGTTGGCAGAGCCGCTGCAGCTTGCATTCGGAGTGGATTTCTCTTCCACTCCATAAGTTTTTTTTTTTTTTTTTTTTTTTTTTTTTTTTACCTCCAGTCTGTTCTTGTGCCGCCTGAGCCTTCTTGGTCTTTGGACCAAGTTCTTTCCTTTCTTTCTCCTTGGTTTGTCATTGCTTTTGGGAAGTTTTTTTTGCCGCCTTCTCCTGTTCTGACAAAGAATGAGACGGCGGGCTTCCGGAGGGGTTAGTTGTGGATGCTTGGTTGATTAGGTGTGTGTGTGTGTGTGTGTGTGTGTGTGTGTGTGTGTGTGTGTGTGTGTGTGTGTGTGTGTGTGTGTGTGTGTGTGTGTGTGTGTGTGTGTGTTGTGTGTTGTGTGTTACGTGTTGTGTCTTGTGGCGGCTTTACGCTGCTACCTGAGGCCACTAGTTCTGTGATGGTGGACACGCTCTGGGTGGATCCGGTTTCCCTGGCTCCCTGTTACAGGGCTCTTATATCTCAGGTTGTCTGCAGTGTCATTAAGTCTAGCCAGCCTGTGGTTTACCCCTCGTGCCCCAGATGTTAGGATGTATGCTGCTCTAGCAGCGGTCTTTGGCAGCATGTCTTGGGTCAACATTTGTGCGCGGGGGTTTTGGAAGTCGGACAGGGTCCTGGCCACCAGGTATCTTGTGAATGTTCCAGTTCCTTCACGGCCTTGTGTGGTCTTGGGAAGCCTAACTCGTGGGGCCTAACTATCGCGGCCGTCTCTCTTCCTCGTCTTGAGACCTGCAGTTATCTTGAGTTATCTTGAGATGATTTCGGGGCTTAGCGTCCCCGCAGCCCGGTCCTCGACCAGGCCTCCTTTTGTTACATCCCCAGGAAGCAGCCCGTAGCAGCTGTAACTTCCAGGGACCTATTTACTGCTAGGTGAACAGGCACATCAGGGTGAAAAACATTTTGCCCATTTGTCTCCGTCTCCACCGGGGTTCGACTCAGGACTACAAATCCGAAGCACTGTCCACCCAGCTGTCAGGTGCGGTGCTGCCGCTTCCTGGGTAATTAAGTCCCTGTTTTCCTTATTTGTAGGTAGTTAGCTTCAGAGAGCCGACGGGCCTCCCCACAGAAAACCAGCGCTGAATGTAATAAAATGCCATTTCTGGATAATCCCCGGAGACTCCCTGTCACTCCTTCCTTCTGGCCGGCGGAGTTCATCGTTTAAGAACTGGAGTGGTGGGCTGCTGGCTCAGGACGGGGGAGACATCTCCCGTCTGGGCTGCTGGCTCAGGACGGGGGAGACATCTCCTGTCATGCAGGGTGCAGTCGCACCTCCACAGATCTCCAGTATCAAGAGTTGATACTGGTAATGGCTCAAAAGGGCCACCACTTACGGGCTATTCATGCCCGTGCCACTTTTTGGGTGGCTTAATCTTCATCAATCAAGCTGCTGGCTCAGATGAGCCAGCTTCGAGTAGCTATAATGAGCGGGAGTGCTAGTTGCATGAAGTATTGCTTGTTTGCCTTCTCTCTAGGAAAGATATTTTGATCTTTTAGGACGTAGATTGCATAGTGTAACCAGTGGTCTGTTCTGATTCGCCTATCTTTTTGGGTCCTTTCCCGGTCTATGGGAATTATGGCATAATTTAAATGTAAAGTGCTCATAGGCCATTGTTCCCTGCACCTCTCTGAGGGGGCCAGGTTCTGGCTCGTGGTTCCTGGTAGGCAAAGGACTCCTGTGACTGATGACCCCAAACTAATATAGCACTACATCAGTTCGGATAGCTTCACGGAGCCTCCGGGGTTCACCAAGAAAATGGCGTTTCATTACATTCAATCTTATTTTTTGCTAGATTGTTCATAATGAGATGGTTGATTCCCTCCCTTAGTATTCCCTCCAAATAATGTTGTTCCAGCTTTCTCGAGAATATCATTAATTTGCATGCCTGATCTGTGCCTTCATTATGTCCATTCATCTTTAATAAAGATAAATTTATAACTACTGAAGTCATATTTACATACAACATCAGAAATAAATTCTAAAAATATTTACCTTGGCTCAAATATACTACAACTTTTGTATAGAAAAGTACAATATGAGGCAATACGAGACGTTTTAAGTTAAAATGATTGCATTGTAGTGTTAGAATCAAGTAATTATAAAAAATAGTATTACAAAAGTTTGACTGCAGAGTTGTAGTACAGCATTATTATTGAATACCAAGGTAATACAAATTTTAACCGTTTATGACCATTACCACAACTTTCTCAGCAAACACCTATTGAGAATTAATGGTAATACTGTATTTATTTTAAACAATTTATCTACATTAACAAATAGAAGAGCTATTATAGTGAACACTATATATATTCTTACCATAAATGTTGGTTTTGTACACAAACTTTTACTCTTATTTTCCTGGTTAAATTCAAATGCTTCAATAAAATGTAAATACTACATTGCAAGAATGGCTTACCAGTTGATATAGCGGTATACTCCTATGATCTCTACTTCCCTCATACCGGCGTGGACAAGGGGCAGCGTGACTTCAGGCGCCCCAACACCTACCAGCATCAGCACACCACCCGACCTGGTTGCCTGCACAAAATCAAAACAGATACATTGTCTATCACTATCATCTACTGTAGAGCTTCATTTGCAGCATTTTAGTACATTTCTGATGTCACCAGGTGTTCCCCAAGGTAAGATCTTTCTGCGTTCAAAGGACACGATCACACACAGCAACATTCCTTCCCACCACTAGGGGCCAGATTCACGAAAGTACTTACGCAAGCACTTACGAACCTGTACATCTTCTCAATCTTTGGCGGCTTTGTTTCCAATTAAAAAACAGTTAATGAGCTCCGAAGCACCAGGAGGCTGTTTATAACAATAACAGTTGATTGGGAAGTTTTCATGATTGAAACCGTTAAATAAATGTAACCAAAGCCGTCAAAGATTGACGAAAGATGTACACGTTCGTAAGTATTTGCGTAAGTGCTTTCGTGAATCTGGCCCCTGTGTTCGTATTCCTTCCAAGTGCTATACTGTTTACTCAATTGTTTAATGCTTCCTCCTGATAATTCCAGGACAGCACAGTCACAACCAGTGACACGGGCTACTATTCAAATCTGCCCCTTAAGGTCATTAAGGTGCTTGGAAGTCACTGGAAGACATGCACTAGCAGTTCATTCTTAGATTCACAGTCTTTCCAATCTCTCCCAAGGGTTAATGCTTGATAATTGTCAATTGGTATACTTGTTTGCTTCCTATACTGATCACCGGGTGGCAGCATTACCCGCACCTCATTGTCCTAAGTTAATATAACTTCATTGTTCGCACACCCAAGCATCTCATTCTTTGGATCTCCATTTTAGTTTAATCAGTTTCACCGTGAGAATGTAACTTGTGCGCCCTTAGCTTGGCTAGTTGGTAGTGCTGTTAATGTTAAACACTACCTTTACCAGTCAGCCCGGTACACATAATATCCACAATTCACTCACTTAAAACCAGAGCCAGGAACATTAGTGAAATACCAACTATGGTATATGAAAGTGCCAATAGCAAAGTGCCAGTAACAAATGTTTGCACAATTCGTGTTGGCTTGGTGATTGCGGGTATTAACATACAGGAGTTCATGCTATTTAGGAAGTATTCAACTTGGACGGGGGGGGGGCTATTTTGTTGATAAAGGTCAATGTTGAAGTTGCCTCTTAGGATGATGTGATTTGTTGTTTATGATTAGGTTCATAATATTATCCGAGAATGTAGTTGTACAGTATTAATATTGGGAAATCTATAAATAGCTCCAATAGTTATTGATGATTTAAGGGATTTGACCGAGAATTGAGTAAAAAGTTATATTCACAGCAGTTGTTTCCTATTGCTAACAACACTTGTGCAAGTGAAATTATCTTTATAATATATAGCTGTACCACCTTTTTTGTCAGGTGTGCAGCTGTGAATGGCTTTATTTCCAGCCAAGTTGTATAGTTGGGTATAGTCTATTTAGCCATGTTTGTTCAAATAATGAGACGCGATGTCTGAAGAGTGACCCTAGCGCGTGTTGCACAACCAATGGGTATACTGAGCGACCTGCTCTCTAAGCCAGGCGGGTTAGTTCGCATCATATGCAGTACATCAATGATTTGCCAAATGTTTCTAAACATTCTTAAACCTATACTATTTGTTGCCAATACTACTGTCATCTATTCAGATTCCAACTCTCACATTAAATAATATTGTAAATAATGAATTAAAAAAAGTCCACTCGTGGATGTCAACCAACAAATTTACACTAATAGAAAATACCTACTACAATACTGTGCATTTTATTTGGAAGTAAATAAAAGCAAATTCAACTTCAGACAATGTTAACATTAGCATTGAACATGAAGGAAAGTTCCTTGGCCTATACATAGACAACAGACTAAAGCACCCACATACAACAGTCAAAAAAGTTTTGGAAACTAGTTATGCTCTCTAAAATCAGAAATATATAATGTAATTCACTTATATTGTAGTTATTTATCGATATAAAACCTTACTACAATGTTCCTTTTCATCTAACCTGATATGTTGGATTAAGGACCTGCCTGAAATGCTATGCATGTTAGTGTTGGGTACAAATACCAATATTATGTAATATCACCAACCCATTGTACCTTCTTGGGAATAAATTAATAATAATTATATTATCATTATTATTATTATTATTATTAGGACCTGGCAGCTTCCCTCTGGCTTTTGTTACTGGCTTAGTAACAGGCTGATGACGTTTAGTCAGCCTCAGGTGTATGCTCTCAAGTTATTCTGTGGTGGAATGAATATTTCTCAGCAACTCCCTAGCACCTTAACTACCCTACAGAGATTGAAAAGTTTGCTGTGATCCAGGTGCAAGTTGTCCTGTGGGACATGGTGGGTTCCTATCTTAAGGAGCAGCAAAAGAATTTGGAGACAGGTGCTTTATATATACTGTACTACAATGAAAGCCTTGTAGGCTATCTTGATAAATATACAACATAGTGCAACAACTATTTCCTGATCTCGCTTAATACTGTATATTCAAAAATTTCTTATCCTGAACTTTCCCCAGATTCCATTCCAAGACTAGCAAACTTAAAATATACACATTTTCAAATAAGGGAAGGGAATACCACCTCTGGCTGGAAGAAGGGGGACCCATAGCCTCGGAGGAAACCACATAACGCATTGGAGGGAATGTAGGTCCCCTCCAATACAGTTTCTGTGCTTTTCTCCTACCACCCCCTTTTTTTCCAAATTTTATTTTCCATTTAATTTTCAAATTAATTTTCAAATTAAATTAGATTCTGCATTCATAATTTGCAACTTACATAGATACCAGTAACAATGCCAGACTGCACTCCCGTACACTCGAGGGTCACCTGCGGCATGCACCCCATTACATCCTTCACCTTTGCCGCCAAGCTCTTGGGCTGATTGTCTTGTACTAGCAGCGTGTGATGCGCCCCCACCCGCTTAGCGATCTTAAGACGGTTCTCCTTGATATCTGTAAAATCAACATTTGTAAAAATTAATCTTTCATGCCTAATTAACTATTTGCAAAGTGAGCTAATGTATAAATAAAGACTTGAGGAAAATGTAGATGAATGAGCTAGTGCTACAGCTAGAGGAGAAAGAAGCAATTCCTCTTTGTCAGGGACGGGAACTATGTTAGGTTTATCCGAGCCCCCTCGAGCCCATTTTTCAGGATGTAACCCATAACAGTTAACATTTCAGGGTACCTATTTATTGTCAGGGTGAGCAGAGGCATCAGGTGTAAGAAAAACTGCCTGAACACTTCATCCTGAACTATAATCTAACTTAGACCATTGTGTTGCAAGTGGACAACAATGATTGCTGCATCACAATTTTTACAAGTGAGCAATTCATGACAAGTTTCAGTGAATTTAACTAAATGTGAACAATGTGTAGAAGATAGTATAGGATGAAATTTATTATTCATCATTTTAAAATTTAATAATTTTACATCTAATTCATGAAATTACAGAAATACTGTCATGGAACTTTGTTAAAAATACACCATTACATGAAAAGGCTAAATCCTGACTACAGTCAAATCCCCTCATTTTCGTAATTTAAAAAGAAATTCAAATTTTAAATTCATAAATAGTAGTGCATTTGTAAGTAGCTCAAGTCAATAAAATACCTACATGTACTTCGTATACAAAATGTAATTAATAATGACCATTATAACTGTAGACTGAAAAAAATAGCGTTGAATGTAAAACAACGGCAGTTTCTGGGTGTCCCAGAGGCTCCCTGAAGCTATCTATACTAATTAAGTACCATACTACTTGGAGTCGTCAGTCCCAGAGTTCTTGAATGCCTACCGGGGACCACGAGCAAGAACCTGCCCCTCAGAGGCGCAGGGAGCAATGGCCCATGAACCCTTTACATGTAAAAATTGCCATTGACCAGAGAGGGTACCCAGAAAAGCACCCATAAGAACAGAGAAGGCACCCATAAACAGAGCAACCCTCTGTTTATACTTTGAATCCACCAACAAGGACACCGGGACCTAGCCCTCGATCATCCACGTCCACTGCCTGCAAAGAATAGGCGGAGTCCTGGGGAAGAGCTTCAAAACAAGGAGCCGGCTGGGAAGACTTAGAAGCCTTATCGAAAAGTAGAGGCAACCCCCAGAGCCACCTGAGCTTCACACCGAACTAAACCCTGCCTCGACTCCGAAACTTTCAGGCGCTTCGAAGCCGATAACAGGGTTGAGGGGGTGGCGAACCATTCCTACCTGTGAAGGAAGATGGGTGGCGCGGACAGAACCAAAACCAAAGCAGCCAACACCCCTAAATCAGAGTCCCTAAAATCCAAGCGGGGCAGCTCTGGGGCCTTCAAACAGCCATACAACCTGGCATGTTCAACACAGAAACGCTAATTCAATGTAACTACTGCCTGATCCCTCAGAATATCAGATGGGGAATGAATAAGCTGAAGTACAAGAGGTGAACAAATCCCACAAGACTCTGGGTCATAGGTGTCACTGACCTAACTGGCAGCATGGTGGAGGCAGAACAGACGATCGTCACACTGAGGGGGGGGGGGGACGAGCAACTCTCGAATTCGCACAAGATGAGACGGGGCTCGGAAGAGGTATCCATAGTACAACAGAACCAGTTGGAGATTTTCGGGGCCCGTAGGGTAAATGAGCCCTACAGGAAGCCAAGGCACTGGGGCTAGTAACTTGTTGATGCAGGCAATCAGACCACTAGAAACTGCCAGAAAGCCCCCAGGGCAGACCCAGAGACCCCTCCAACAGCAAACAAGCAGTCTTGGAGATCCAACACGCCCTTGCAGCTAGCGTTGTTGACTCTTCAGATAGCAGTGCGCCCCAGCAGCCGACACTGCCCTAAACAGGGCAAGACAAAGGTGAAATTCCCCTACACACCAAGAGAGAAGACCACCACAAGTGAGGAAATCCTCTAACGGAGATAGATTCCCATTCGTCCCAGGGAAGAAAAACCAGGCCAGGCAAGGGCAGTAGTTACGGAGCACCTAGGGAAGGTTATCCTAGGCACGTGCAGCTCTAGTATGTTGAAACTTCTGGTAGAACACACATCCGTGAAGGAACAGCCTCACAAAGCAAAACACCAACAAAACTTGAAAACTGTGGCCAGAGCAAGCCGAAGACCGGTATACGCATCAGTCAAGAACTGGCTAGTGGCGGCCCGGCTCGCCCCTTCCCCAACAGGGTTGGGAGGTGGAGCTAACTAGCAAGGAAGGAAGGGGGGTTGGTTGGACGAAGTTTAGCTTGTTTGTGTAGCGAGTAATCCTTATACTCGCTCCATTATCTTAATGGCGTAACTAATTATAGTTACAAGCTTAACAAGCTTAAGAGCTTAAGATTATAGCTTAACAAGGTATAATCTTAACCCTAATTACAGGTAACAGTTCTCACATCTTCCTATCCTAGTAGAGAAAGGCGAGAGGTAGTAACCAAATATAAATAAGCGATATGAGAATAGCGGACAGTACAATTTCCAGCAAAGAATGTAGCACTCTGCGTAGGCAGTTCTAATCGCCTCCAAGACGCTACAGCTTCGACACAGAACAGACAGCAGACTAGGACCGCATCCAGCTACAACGCTCTCCCACAGAGCTCCGCGACTCCGGCCACACTCAGCTCTCTGCTCTGCTCCAAGCTCCGTCTCAACGTCTATGACACTGCTGTATCCAGGACTACTAAATAAATATGAAACTCACTAAACACTATCTAATCTACCAACCAACGTAACATAATCGTACGTTACATTTGTTTTTATTTGTGGCAAGTTATTGATACTTTTAAGGCGTAGGTCGCATTTTTCAACCAGGCAGTTATCTATTTTGACTTGCCTACCTTTCTGGGTGCCATTCCTAGTCGATAAAATGACAAACTTTACATGTAAAGTGTGATGGTTCAGAGCCATCTGGAGGTGATGTTCGCTCCAGCTGGCTGCCAAACTCACCACCTTTAAATTACGAAGTGCACAAGGGGACCAGACCGAAGACTCGTGCCATCATCCCAGCTCCCCCACAAGAACCAGGTGCTGTATCTTCTGCCAGTGGTGGGCCCCCCCAGTGTTTATGGACCATTGCTTCCTGCGCCTCTAAGGAGGGAGAGGTTTTTGCTCGTGGTCCCCGGTACGCATTCAAGAACTCTACGACTGATGACTCAAGTAGTATGGTACATAATCAGTATAGATAGCTTCAGAGAGCCGACAAGGCTCCCCCACAGAAAACAGGTAAATGAAGAACAAGTGGGTATCTATAATAATAAAAAAAAGATACATAATTAAGTTAATTGGAGGTTATAAAATCAAGAGAATGATTGTGAAAGTGGTGGTGCACCAGGCCACAACACAGTAGCCATGACAGTGCCCCGGTGCACACTATGCCTGCCAACACGTAATATATATTTTGGTGTATTTTTCTTTGTAATGTAACTGCAGTAAATATATAATCTTGCCCATGTAAGGAAACTAAAGCAGATGTATTCATTACATTACGTATTAACCTCAAACCAATTGCCTAATAACTATCCAAATACAACAAGGAAATCTTAAAGTTTGAACAAATCCACAAGGGACTTGAGGTTATATCGAGATGATTTCGGGGCTTTTTAGTCCCCCTGCGGCCCGGTCCTCGACCAGGCCTCCACCCCCAGGAAGCAGCCCGTGACAGCTGGCTAACACCCAGGTACCTATTTTACTGCTAGGTAACGGGCATAGGGTGAAAGAAACTTTGCCCAATGTTTCTCGCCGGCGCCTGGGATCGAACCCAGGACCACAGGATCACAAGTCCAGTGTGCTGTCCGCTCGGCCGACCGGCTCCCCAATGAAGATTCGAACCTACGTTCGAGAGCATACCAGACGCTGCCTTAATCGACTGAGCTACGACATGGTCCAAAGAAGTGTAAAATCCTGGTTTGTCTCAGACTGCAGGATCCAAGCAAGTTCAGTAGAACTTTCTTGGATCCTGCAGCCTCTCCGAGACAAACCAGGATTTTACACAATTCCCCCACGCGCTCGAGCTATGTCAATAGGCCTTTTGACCATGTCGTAACTCAGTCGATTAAGGCAGCGTCTGGAATGCTCTCTGACGTAGGTTCGAATCCTCGTCACGGCCCTTGTGGATTTGTTCATTTGATGCATCACGCTATTGTGATTTCTGTGTGTAATCTTAAGTTTGTTTATAACTAGACCTTGCTTGGACGTGCAGTCGTGTTCTCAGGTGATGCCATTAACTGCATGGAGAAATATTAATGACCACAGTTAGCCATGGTGATCCAAGCACGAAATGGCCAGACTCAAGTCTGGCCATTTGCTAAATGACCTTTATTTGCTAAAATCAAGGATTAACAATTTTCTTCGCGATGTTCTTGTGATATTCAAAAAAGAATGTTTGTCTATTTAACATTCGCCCCAAAACTCTCAATGTTGTAAGGCTTAGTTTTGCTTTTTCTTTAAAACAAGGCAGAAACAATAATGCTGCTTTTATTTACCCAATACCGTGTACAAATATTGATAGTCTTGGTATCAGCTAATCTTAAATACGATAAAAGCCAAGGCTGCCATTCTTTATAATTGATAAATATCCACCCCCCCCCAAGTGGTCATTGATAATCTTACCTGTAATCAGGATGTTAGTGGCGCCCATCGCCTTGGCTGTCAAGAGGCAGAGGAGGCCAATGGGTCCAGCGCCACAAATGAGGACAGATGAACCAAGTTGAATCTTTGCCTTACGACAAGCATGGACAGCAACAGCCAGGGGTTCGATGAACGCACCTTCCTCATCACTGACATTGTCAGGCAGCCTGTCATAATAGAGCACTTTACCAGGTGTTGCATCATAGTTGGCTTCCTTGAATGACAATCGGGGATCCCAGATGGTACAAATATGGTTGGGCGATTTTTTCCACCTTGTGTGTTTTGTTTACATAGTTGTGTGTGTGTGTTGTTTACATAGGGTGTGTGTTTACATAGCCACCAGTTGAATAGACTAGTAGAATATTACATCTTCAACTGTTGTGGAGTTGCATCGTGGGAAGGGTCAGTAGTTTGGCCTGGGGGGGGAGAGATACAAGCCAAGAGTATATACTGTATTACACACACACACACACACACACACACAGACAGAGAGAGACAGACAGATTCAAAAAGGGGTCACCTTCTTGAAGGGGCCAGCAGGCCACCGCACTCGCCTTCTGAAACACTAAAAGAATCGAGCGTGTGTCGGCGCTGGTATTTCTTCCAGGCTGCACGCTTGCAACAGACAGCCCAAACACAGTCTGAATTTCATCAAGGTACGCACTTCCATTTGCCATAGGAAATAGAGCGAGGAATCGAGTAGAAGGCAGCGTCGAATACGGTGTCATGAAAAAGGAGGAGGGCTCGAGGCAGAGGCAAGTCAAAGATTGGAAAGAGTAGCATGTAGGGTGAATAGATTCCAGCCAGCCTTGGCAATCTGCCCCCCTAGGGAAGGAGAGGGGAGGGTGAAAAGAGAAGATGACAACGATGTGAAAATGGTCACTTATGGAGGTCATCAAGAACCTGCCATGTGAAATCTAAATAAAGAGAACACAAGAAGAGAAAGTTCAAGAAAGGAAAGAGGGCCTAGTGCGTGGGTCAAAATAAGTTGGTTCACCAGAATTCAGAAGAGACAAAGACTTAAGAAGAGAAGACATGTGGTTTAAGTAAGCGGCCTCGGGTGTTTGAGGGCATGACAGTTAAAAATCACAAAAAAGGAGCACAGGCTCCGGTAAAAAAAAATCAACAGGAGTTAAAAAGGACCATGAGACCTCGAGACCTCGAGACCATAGATTGGGCGAATCTAACATCACAAGCAGAAGGATAACAATTTCCAGACCTGGGTTCTTGGGCTAACATCAGAAGAGGGCATGATCGATAAAATTCAGGTAGGGGGAAAGCTCACCCCGTCATGTGATAACCATATAAGACAGACTACACCACCATATTATAAGATGGACAACAAATATAGAAACCCACAAAGGTCCATAATTATGAATTTCTAGATTACCATCGAGGAGACTATCAAGGAAAGAAGAACTGCAAAAAAACACCTAGAGGGAGCTGATAGGTGAACATGGGAAAATTTGAAGGTCATCACTGAACTCTTTCAAAAATATGTCCCAAAAAGAAAGAAAAACTAGATGACAGGTAGTAAAACGATCATTGATAACTATGCGGAACATCTGGATAACATAAATCCACGATGGACATAATTGATTAACAGATATACAAAAGGGCACTAAATTCAACCATCCAGGAAATCAGATTTGCCAAAAGAAACAAAAAAAAAAAAAGTCAGAACTCCAACCACAGAGATACAAAATAGTTCTATGCCTGTATAAAAAGTAAAACCAAAATAAAGGACTGTAGGACCCTTAAAATACGAGACTAACCAAGTTATAATGGATGACAAAAGGGCAGTAAATACTTTGAATATTTTACATCAGTGTTCACACCAGAAATTAGACGACATCCCATCACCCCCATTTGAAGGAGGTGAAGAAAGTGAATTATAGAATATACCCATTACATGCGTCACAATCAGGAAGAGCACTGACGAACTAAACTCAAAAGCCTCAGGCGAGGCTTTTTACACACAATCACACCTAACCATCCACCATGGGCAACCCAAATGTTATGCAATCAAAAGTCATAAAGGAACTGGCAAAAGAAATATGCCAACTGCTGGACCTACTTTTCACAATCTCTGGACCAAGGGGTAATCCCCCCTAGATTGGAAATGTGCAAATGTTACCCGTATTTTAAAAAGGGCAGAAAGAGCTCAGGCAACTACCGTCCGATCAGCTTGACATCACACATCTGCAAGCTCAGATTCCTCAGGTAGGGAATCATTTACAATCTTTCAGTGAACAATCTTCTAAAATCGACACATGGGTTTGTTAAAAATAGATCGACTTACAAACCTACTCACATTTTTGGTAACTGTAACCAGCTACTCAGACAGGAATTCAGGTGGATGTAGTATACATGGATTTTGCTGAAGCCTTTGATAGGGCACCACATGAAAGACTGGCAAGGAAATTACAGGCGCGTGAAATAAATGGTAGAATACTAGAATGTATAAAACAATGGTTATAACAAAGAAAACAGTGGTGCTAAATGGAAATTAATCTATCTGGATAAATGTGGTACCACAGGGTTCCATTTTGGGGTCAACCCTTTTTGTTACACTGTACATCAATGACAATGTCCACACAGCATTAATTTCAAAAGCCTGGCGTCTCAGAGCCAAGAGATACCACCTACCAGGACAGCCAGGGTGTCCAAGAGCTAGCCACAGGAAAGGGTGCGTCGTCCCCAGCAGTGCTCCCTCTTTTTAACAGTAGGAAAACTTCCCCCTTTTTATCTGTACAATCCTACTGCATCGTATATTCTCACACACTTGGTGCAAAGACCTCTTTCTCCCTTTTTGCCCCAACCTAGATGCCTAACCATACACCATGGGCAGCCCCCTCACGGACGACCCATCCAGCGGGAGGACAGTCGACCCGAACAAGATCCCTATGGGTGTGTACAGCACCTCAACATGTACAACACCCGGAGAGAGGACAGGGGAAGTTCTGATATTAGCCAGTCTTGCATATGCCGTTGACGATACCCTTTCCATGTGTGTTTGAGTTAGAGCGTGCGTGTGTGCGCGCGCGCGTGTATAAATGCAGTACCACAGTGGAACTACAAAACCATAAATATAGCATATATTATTAGATTACGTTATATAACATGTACATTATACTTATACCGGACTGTATACCATATGACTTAGTCATTACAACAGTAATATTAAGAAGAGTATTTATGAGGCTGCGTGTCTGCAGCGTGCCTTACTTGAAGCAGAGGTCAGCATTATGGAGGTAGTAGCGGGCGAGACAGCCAGGGTAGAGGGCTACAGAGTTGTGGAAGCAGGCGTCCTCACACACGTTGTACTTGCCGCTGGTGCAGTAGTCACACCTACGACACGGGCCTCCTGGCTCTATCGTCACGCGGTCACCTGTGGCTCACCACGAATTACCAGTTAAATGAGTCAACGTTACAAGCGAGATACAGTCAAAAAGTATTCAATAGAGGAATGCTTTTTTTCTTCTCCCAGGAGAGATATCCGACCCCCTACAACTGGCTAATAATTTGCAACAGTACTGTATTACTTTATTTACAATATTAAAATATTACAGTATTATTGACCAAGCCAAAATTGCTCTGACATTTATTACTTCAATAATCCTTCAGTTTCTTAACAACTCGAAAATTTAAAGAAAAATTAACATTTAGTTATCTTATCTTTTTCCCAGTAAAGGTACTTACTGGTAATGCAATGAAGCCTTTTATGAAGATAACTTATCTTAGTGCTGTGCCGGAGGCTTTCATCTTGGCTCTGTCCACAGTAAACACTTATGATATGATGTTATATTAGACCGAGTTCATTTGAAATTTTAGGTATAGATTAATAAACTATATATAGAACATTGGAATAACAACTTAGAAAACGCGAGAAACGTAGATTGGATATTTCGGTCCCAAGCCGAAATAAACAAGCCTATTATTTCATTGATTAGTGCGCTATTGTACTTTATTTTCATATACTATAGTTTTAATATGTATTTTCATGTTCCCATTGATAATATTTACACATGCAGTGCATTCTATCTCTGAAGACGAACAGGCACAAAACCGGAGTGACAACGAACAGAATAATAATGTACAGAATCTAGGCGCCATCTCTCAGCCTAATAGGAACAACGAAAGAAATTTAAATTTCTTCTACACTAATGCCAGAAGCCTGGTGAATAGATTTGATGCCTTGTGTGCATATGCCGAGGCCGAAACTCCAGACATTGTCGTAAGTGAAACATGGGGGACGTGAGGACATTATTGAAGGGGAACTCATCCTCCCAGGATATCATCCACCATTCAGAAAGGACAGAACAAGAGCAGGTGGTGTACTGCTTTATGTGAAGGAGGACCTGAAAGCAACCACCAATGAGGAACCGAACACCATGGGATCCTCTGAGTCTGTATGGTGCAACATACTATCTCAACATAACATACCAACAGTGGGAGTATGCTACAGGGCTGACAATAGCAGAGGAAGTTACTGATCTGCATAATGTGATCACTGTTGCGTCACAAACCTAAACTCTTATAATGGGCGATCTCAACCATGAGACAATAGATTAGGTAAATCTAACATCACAAGCAAAAGGAGATCAATTTCTTGAACTGGTGCAGAACTCATTTCTCATACAATATATCCTTATCCTGATATTCTTATCCTTATCCCTTCCAATTGCTTTATAGTCGTAATGGCTTTCCCTTTTCCCCTGATAATTCCGTTCCCAGGACCCTCAACAGCTGCCTATTCCAAATACCTATTTATTGCTGGATGAACAGCGACATCAAGTGAAGTGAAATATGTCCTACCATTTGCCCTACCTTTTAGTTAACTTTAAATGGAAGATCTAAGCAAACAATTTGATGTTTGCTAGTGGGCCAATTCAAACGTTTTACAAGAAATTCTTCTGTATTATACTTACCGAAACGTGGTTGAAAGGGGATACAACGCAACTCTTTAACATACCAAACAACTCAGTAATTCACAACTGTCGACCAGTCCAGAGAGGTGGTGGTGCTACTGCTCTTTACCACCACCAAAAACTGACATGCTTAAAAGTAATTAGAACTAGAGACTCCCGTGGAGAGTATATCTTTGCCTGTTTCAGAGTCAAGGGTGCCGAGTCTGTCCTGACTGTGGGAGCAGTTTACAGAATTCCTAATACTGATGTTGCTGAATTCAACTCTTTAACCTTAGAAATCTAATACTAACAAACTTTAACTAATAATATCAGGGGATTTTAATATTTACTTCTGCGAGCCTGGTAACCCTTAACCTGCTAGTTTAATCAATTTTATGAATTCCTATTTGCTCATATCCTTAATTACTAAACCTACTAAAATTACTGAAACGACTGCCTCTACTCTTTACCACATCTGGACTGACATAACTTCTCCACTTCAGCGATAATCACTGATAGGACCACAGATCATTACCCGACATTTCTCCTAACCAACATTAATAAGCCACCTCTAGATACAATGAAGATAAGCTTTAGGCTGCACAAAACTTCTATAAGCAACTTTATCGCTGCTAAAATCAACTGGGAGGCTGAATTAGGTAACACTGAACATCAACCTAGCAGTGCAAACATTTCTTCACAAAATTAAGCCTCTGTAATACCCACTATCCAATGCTAACTAAACAAGTCACAACTAAAAGGTTAAACAATCCATGGCTTATTAATAAGGGTATACTTTAATCTATTGGTAAGAAACATTACCATGAGAAGAAGTATAGGTTAAGGGTCATCTTCAACGAGATACTCTTTAGTGCTGATTAAAATAATTGAGCCAAAATAAAATATGAAAATAAATTCGATCAAATTAAGGGCAACATTAAGGAAACATGGAGCACCATTTTCCCAAACATTAGGATCAAAGAAGATCTTTTATAAGAAAATAATACTGCTATCCAATGACGACGTGCTTTCTGCCTCTGCTATTTAATTCAATAATGTCTTCTCATCCATTGGCACATCCCTTGCAAATGATATCCCAGCCTTCCTAACTAGTGTTAAGGACTGTCTTACAGGAAACTATCCAGAGTCTCTGTACTTAACTCCCGCTAATTTCACTGATGTTAATGAGACAAGCCTTTCTCTTAAAACAGTCAAGTGCCCTTGTTGAGATACCAACTCAAATTTAGAAAGAAAATCTTTCAGATTTCTAGCTCCAGCCATTGCATTACTTTACTCCAAACCTTTCTTGATATCGTTAAAAAAATTAAAGCGAGAGTAACCCTAGTCCACAAATGTGGTGATCTGGTCGACGACCGGGCCGCAGGGTCGCTAAGCTCCGAAATCCGGGATAAGAGTCCTAACAATACTAGGAGAAAATGAGCACAGAATTGTTATGTTCTTAACGTACAAGATACCAAAGGGGTATTGAGTACGTGGATGGGGATGGGAATAGGCTATTAAGAGACTACGGAACACAGCTGCAAGTTGGCAAACCTGGAGCTGTAAGAAAGTTTACATTCAAGTACAACTAACAGGGGAAAATGTATTGAGAACTTTCTCTCCATTGGATCTAAATCCAAATTAAGTTTTATTTTTATATACAAGAGTTGTTACATTCTTGCACAGCCGTACAAGAACATTGTACGTACAAGTTTTGTACAGCCGTACGAAACGCGTAGCGTTTCGGGCAAGTCCTTAATCCTATGTTCCCCGGAATACGACCCCCCGCGTTTACGACTAGTAAACACACACACACACACACACACTTGCTCTCACCTGGTTTGAGATGTTTGACATCTGGGCCACATTTGGCGACCACCCCGGAAGCCTCATGACCAACTCCAATGGGTGGAGTGAGGGTGAAGTCACCCAGACGACCCTTGTAGACGAGGGAGAGGTCAGACCCACACAGCCCCACCTGCGCCATCCGGATCAACACCTCTGTCCAACACACCCGTGGTCAACATCAGTCATTACAAGCAGGGAGGCTGGCCCTTATCACCCATTATTTATAACATAATAATGTGTAACATCCTCCAAATTGTTCAGCATTTTAATTTCAATGAGATCCGCCCTGTAGTGTGGATAGAGGTGCAATTTAACAACCCTATGGTGCACTAGTGTGCTGGTGGTGGGTGCAACACTCACCATTGGAGCCCAGGGGCGGGATGGGGTGCGTCTCCTGTGGGAAGAGAACCACAATCATGTCTGTTACTAAGTGAGAATTATTGTATCAAAGGACACAATCACTTTGGACCAATTACAAAATACAATTTAATTTGCTAATCTGAGGTGTGTCATTTTTGCTCTGATAACATGTGGTATTACCAATGTGTACTAAACTTATGCGTACTCTTGTACTAGGGCTTCTTAGTATACTGAAGAACTAAGATGCCTGGTATACTAAGAAGGTCTAGTACACTAATATACTAAGAAGGCTTAGTTTACCAAAAAGGCCTATGTTACGGCCAGCAACCGGGTTCTTGCTGTTAAAAAGAGTCTTAACCTTCTTGATTCTACCCCAAATCTATGGTACTTTTCAAGAACTGGCCATGACAAGTAGTAGTGAAAAGAACAAAAGGGGGATAAACAATATGAACATAAGAACAAAGGTAACCGCAGAAGGCCTATTGGCCCATACGAGGCGCTCCTATCTATAACCACCCAATCCCACTCATACTTGTCCAACCCGTGCTTGAAACAATCGAGGGACCCCACATCCACCACGTTACGCGGCAATTGGTTCCACAAATCAACAACCTTGTTACTGAACCAGTATTTACCCAAGTCTGTCCTAAATCTAAACTTATCCAATTTATACCCATTGTTTCGTGTTCTGTCTTGTGTTGATTTTTTAATACCCTATTAATATTTTTTCAGTTTTCAGGGTTTTTTCAGTTATATCGTACTAAGACTAGGGAAAGGATAGGTCCATTAAAAACTGAGACAGGTCAAATAACAGATAGTGATGAAGAGATGAGTAGTATTTTTAATAAATATTTTGTATCTGTATTTACTAAAGAGGAACTTAACTATATGCCTTCAGCCGAACAAGTCTATGGGGTAGGGACGAGGACAGGTTGACGAGTTTAGCAGTTACCAGGGAGGATGTTCTTAAACAAATAGTAAAACTCAAACCAAACAAATCCCCAGGGCCGGATGAAGTGTTTGCCAGGGTGCTTAAAGAATGCAGAGGAGCTTTGTGACCCACTGTCAACCATATTTAATAAATCAATAGAGTCAGGCAGAGTGCCAGAGTTTTGGAAAGTTGCTAATGTGATACCAGTTTTTAAGAAAGGAGATAGATCACTTGCGTCTAACTATCGACCAATTAGCCTAACGTCTATAACGTTTCTATAATTCATTTTACAAATGGTTCCACTGCTGCTATACAACAAGACTAACCAAAGCTCTCTTACACAAATACTGCCATGTTCAGTGCAATTATTTTCTAATAAATTCATATATTTTTTAATATAAATGCACAATTTATTTTTGTTAGCTAGTGAGTTTAGTTAATTTATTATGCATTCGTTACCCATCCTGTGGGCGGTGGTGGAAAGGGTTACAGAGGCACATAATGGGCTCAGGGACTGAAACCCAATTTTTATTTAGCTAGGAAGTTACAGTCTACATGAGCTAGATACAAAAGTTAATGTATATTGTTATTTTAACGCAGGATGTGAGACCGTCCACAAGTACAATCTCTACATTTTGCAACTTACATATGTGGAGAGCTTAACTTACATATGTGGATAGCTAAATAACTTACATGTGTCAAAAGTGATATGTTTATCCTGCACCCATTTTTTCCCTTTCCGAAACAGAAAACGGAACAGTATGTCAATTCCGCGAGCCGGTTCCATTTTCCAGTACGACAGTTTTTGGCCTTATGTAACGCATACGTCAAAATGCGACGTTGTGTTAGGAGGCCGGGTTGGCAGCAAGCGGTGGACGAGTTACAATGACACTCGTTCACTACCATCAATCAGCAATCTGGGGATAGTTGGCTAAAATTTCTGGTAGTAGTTCATTTTGAATGAAATATTTACACATATCTTGAACATTTATTATGGAGCTGTCTCTAAATTCACGTATCTTTTCGCACTCCATCACATAGTGACGGAGGGTGAGCGAATAATTTTGTTAACACAGTTTACATTTGGTCAGGTCTACATCGGCAGATAATGAGAATTCCCAGAGATACTTGTAACCGAGTCTAAGCCGAGCAGTAGTAACATCTAGAAGTCTGCTGATTTTATTGGATGAACCATAGATGTCTGGCTCCTCTTGCATGATAGTATGATGATAGATGGAATTACTGGAGTTTATTTCACTTTGCCTTAGATCTACAAGATTTCGTGTTATTGGACCATTAGGTAACTTGAACAGTTCAGCACTTGTACTGTGCTAAGTCTTTACCAAAGCATCATAATTATATACTCCTAACAATACTAAGATATTTGCGATATATTGACACTAAACAAATGTCCAGACGGTATACTTGCCAGACGCAAGTCGTTGACGCCTCTGAGGACTGGGAAGGTGTTCTCCATGACGGGACCCACGCGCTCTGCTGGACCAGGCCGCACTGACTCTGAGAGCCTTGTGTCCACCTATATATGCATCGCTGAGACAAGCATGGGTGTTGGGGTTGGTCGTGGGGCAAGCATGGGTGTTGGGGTTGGTCGTGGGGCAAGCATGGGTGTTGGGGTTGGTCGTGGGGCAAGCATGGGTGTTGGGGTGGGTCGTGTGTTTACTAGTTGTGTTTTTACGGGGGTTGAGCTTTGCTCTTTCGGCCCGCCTCTCAACTGTCAATCAACTGTTTACTAACTACTTTTTTTTTGTTTCCACACACACACACACACACACACACACACACACACACACACACACACACACACACACACCAGGAAGCAGCCCGTGACAGCTGACTAACTCCCAGGTACCTATTTACTGCTAGGTAACAGGGGCACTTAGGGTGAAAGAAACTTTGCCCATTTGTTTCTGCCTCGTGCGGGAATCGAACCCGCGCAACAGAATTACGAATCCTGCGCGCTATCCACCAGGCTACGAGGCCCCTGTAGTGGGGCAAGCATGGGTGTTGGGGTGGGTCGTGGGGCAAGCATGGGTGTTGGGGTGGGTCGTGGAGCAAGTATGGGTGTTGTAGTGGGGCTACGAGGCCCCTGTCGTGGGGCAAGCATGGGTGTTGGGGTGGGTCGTGGAGCAAGTATGGGTGTTGTAGTGGGGCTACGAGGCCCCTGTCGTGGGGCAAGCATGGGTGTTGGGGTGGGTCGTGGAGCAAGTATGGGTGTTGGGGTGGGTCGTGGAGCAAGCATGGGTGTTGGGGTGGGTCGTGGGGCAAGCATGGGTGTGGGGCAAGCATGGGTGGGTCGTGGAGCAAGCATGGGTGGGTCGTGGGGCAAGGGGTGGGTCGTGGAGCAAGCATGGGTGTTGGGGTGGGTCGTGGGGCAAGCATGGCTGTTGGGGCAAGCATGGGTGGGTCGTGGGGCAAGCATGGGTGTTGGGGTGGGTCGTGGGGCAAGCATGGCTGTTGGGGCAAGGGGTGGGTCGTGGGGCAAGCATGGGGGGTGGGTCGGGGCAAGCATGGGTGGGTCGTTGGGGTGGGTCGTGGAGCAAGCATGGGTGTTGGGGTGGGTCGTGGGGCAAGCATGGGTGTTGGGGTGGGTCGTGGGGCAAGCATGGGTGTTGGGGTGGGTCGCGGAGCAAGCATGGGTGGGTCGTGGGGCAAGCATGGGTGGGTCGTGGGGCAAGGGGTGGGTCGTGGGGCAAGCATGGCATGGGGGTGGGTCGTGGGGCAAGTGTTGGGGTGGGTCGTGGGGCAAGCATGGCTGTTGCAAGCATGGGTGGGTCGTGGGGCAAGCATGGCTGTTGGGTCGTGGGGCAAGCATGGGTGGGGTCGTGGGGCAAGCATGGGTGGGTCGTGGGGCAAGCATGGGTGGGTCGTGGGGCAAGCATGGGTGGGTCGTGGGGCAAGCATGGGTGGGTCGTGGGGCAAGCATGGGTGGGTCGTGGGGCAAGCATGGATAACAGCCTTCACGTGGATAACAGCCTTCACGTGGATAACAGCCTTCACGTGGATAACAGCCTTCACGTGGATAACAGCCTTCACGTGGATAACAACCTTCACGTGGGCCTTGTGGTCGTGGGGCAAGCATGGGTGGGTCGTAACAGCCTTCACGGGGCAAGCATGGGGTGGGTCGTGGATAACAGCCTTCACGTGGATAACAGCCTTCACGTGGATAACAGCACAGCCTTCACGTGGGTGCTAGCAGTGCTGACCTAAAGTGACTATGGAGAAGTGATATATATTGCCAGTAACATTCTAATACTTTATGTGTATTACATTATAACAGCCTTCACGTGGATAACAGCCTTCACGTGGATAACAACCTTCACGTGGATAACAACCTTCACGTGGATAACAGCCTTCACGTGGATAACAGCCTTCACGTGGATAACAACCTTCACGTGGATAACAGCCTTCACGTGGATAACAGCCTTCACGTGGATAACAGCCTTCACGTGGATAACAGCCTTCACGTGGATAACAGCCTTCACGTGGATAACAGCCTTCACGTGGATAACAGCCTTCACGTGGATAACAGCCTTCACGTGGATAACAGCCTTCACGTGGATAACAGCCTTCACGTGGATAACAGCCTTCACGTGGATAACAGCCTTCACGTGGATAACAGCCTTCACGTGGATAACAACCTTCACGTGGATAACAGCCTTCACGTGGATAACAGCCTTCACGTGGATAACAACCTTCACGTGGACAGTTGCTGAAGGATTACAGCGACACATCTCTAACCACAACAGTTAGCTCATCCAGTTACAGCGTTAATGGGCCTTTTGTAATAGACAGACAGTACAAAATTTCCAAGAATATCCCAGCTCTTGTTCACACAGTTAACAATTACTGCTCACTGTTGAAGGATTCATTGAAGGTAAACGTTGGCTTTAGGTATTGTATGTACTAGCTCTATCTATAAACCCAACATTATGTTTGTAACTCTTCATCAATGTACCTGAATAAAAATTTGAATTTGAATTTAAATTTGAAAGTATCGATATCTCAATTCAATCCTGAGAATCGCAATGTCATACTGTCTAGTGGAGGTCTTGTGGTGCTCCGTAAATATAGTAATGTTTTAAACGTCTCCTTATACTAGTGCTCTCTGCGTCTGGGAAGCATGGCAGCTGCCTAGATGAAGGTGACCTTGATGATGTCTGACATGTCATGACTGCATGGCAACCAGGAGAGAAGCCTCACTGCGCAGTGGCCACAGTATCAGAGTGGCGTTGGTTCGACGTTAAATAAACATAATTTACCTTTTCAATCGACGTAGATTCTGCGTTGGTATTTTAGCGCACTTAAAATACCATTTACCATCGAGCACATATTAGGCGAGCTCTGTTACATGTATAATATCAAATAGTCAAAGCACTGGCCAAATAGCTCTAGCTAACCTACAAATTGGGCCACAAGAACAAATCCAGAAGGGCCGTGACGAGGATTCGAACCTACGTCCGAGAGCATCCCAGACGCTGCCTTATCGACTGAGCTACGACATGGTCAAAGGAGTTGAAACCAGAAGTTCTACTGAACTTACGTGAATCCTGCAGCCTCTCCGAGACACAAACCAGGGTTTTACACAATTCTCCCATGCACTCGAGCTATGTCAATAGGCTGTTCTACCTCTTCGCCCTTACTTCATTACACACAGAAATCACAATATCGTGAATTTGATTCTCAGTCGTTTCAGGCAGCGTCGGGGCTGCTCTCGGACGTAGGTTCGAATCCTTGTCGAGGCCCTTGTGGATTTGTTCATTTGATGCATCACTCTATTGTGATTTCTGTGTGTAATTGGGCCACATTTGAACTGTCACATTTATACCTGGCGCAACCAGCAGCCAAATACAGAAAACAACTGCCTGGCCTTGGCCGCAACACCAAGGATCAGCTGACGCCATAAACACAACACACCGCCTTACAGTGCGGCAAGTCTCCCTCTAACATACACCTCTGTTTAGTTGACGCTACTCTGTCTACACCACAACACAAGAAGCACTTTTGAAACCTCGACGTCATTCTCAACATTAACGCGTCTCCCAATATTTGTACCCGTGCAGTCATGGGGAGGGTAGACCCTTCATGCAAACTGACCCTACCATCAAGAATAACCCAGCGGGGTTTCTTCCTATTGGGGCACCTACTCCCAAAGCGATATGAAAAGGCTTGAAAGCATTCAAAATGAAGCCATGACAATCATTCTTGGAGTTCCAAGAACTGCCAAAACGTCTAATCTACGAGAGGAGTTGTCCCTTCCCAGTGTTAAAAGCAGAATTCAGGAGCTGAATGCTAAGCTTGCAATTAGGATAGCCAGAGATCCCCATTACAATGATATTGCCAAGTAAAAACTGAGCTCTGTGCTACTTTCAGGGGGAAACAGGAGAAGCAAAAAATGGCATCACAGATCAGTCTGCTACCTTGAAGAGCTTCACCTGCTTGAGCAAGCCCGTGAGCTCCTGCCTGTAGAGAGGTTACCTCCCTGGGAGGATGACTCATGCAAGATCATCATCAATGAAATGGCAATGAAAAAATCCAACATGATACCACAAGAAATGAGGCACAAGTATCTCGAGGAAATTTATAAAGAAGCCGGAGATGAACTAGATCAAATCTACACTGACGGGTCATCTAATCCTATCAATGGCAGGGCTGGTGCAGCATACACGGTAATCAAGGATAATACCTTCCAACGCAGAAATGAAGAAAAAGCACGTATTGAGAACTATGCCTCTTCAACGCAAGCAGAGCTAACTGCCATTGTTATGGCGTTAAGGTTTCTTGAACGGAACACTAATGGTGCAGTGATTTGCACCGATTCAAAAGCAGCACTGCAAAGCCTAAGTAAAAATCAGGCAGAAAATCTTGCAATAGTCGCTGAAATCAAGAGAGCTGTGAGAGTACTTACCAATCAGGGAAGAGTCATCAAGTTTCTGTGGATCCCCTCCCATGTTGGAATATGTGGAAATGAACGAGCAGATGTGCTGGCTGCTGAAGGCGCTGAAGGAGACCATATTGAATACTTCATACCCAAGACTCAACTACAAATTAGAGGTATTATCAGGCAACATCACCGTGACAAGGTAACTGAGGAAAGGAGGATAGAAGCACAAACCAGTGAATCTGTACGATGGTACAACATGGTTGCAGCTGGCAATCCCAATCATTATGGCCGAAGAGGAGGACGACGAGGGAGAGAATCAGTAATAGCGAGAATCCGTCTTGGATACAAATATCCATGGAGATTTGGAATGGAAACAACAGTTGATCAGCGAAGTTGCAGAATCTGTGGTGAGAGTGATGGACACCGCCTTGACCACTATCTACGTGAATGTGAACACCTGAGAGACATTAGGAATATGTGTAGAATAATAAACCCCACATTGTTTGAGTTAGGAAAACACTATTTGTCAAATATTGATACTGTTCTTAAAAGATTTCCCCATTTTGCACCCGCAAGATAACGTAAGCTTTTAAGGGTTGATAAATGTTAATCTTCTTGTTTGAGGAGCTGTTCACTTGAGACAGTTAAGCAAGT